ACTGGCCTGTAATTTCCTGGATCTCCTCTGGAACCCTTTTTAAAGATGGGAGTGACGTTTGCTACCTTCCAGTCCCCAGGAATGGAGGCAGATTTTAATGAAAGAATAGTATTTATTATTAATGGCGTATTTTGTGGGTTATCCATTATAGTATGCCTTATTTTGGACTAGCCTCACTAGCTTTATGTACAAAATGTGAGAATACGCTGCAGTTCTTTTAAGAATAGATCATAAGAAAATCAAACCACATCTCAATGTAGTCTATTGACCAGTAAAAAGAGTGTCCAACATATGGCCAGCCAAAGATTAGAAACAAAGCATACTAATGAGAATTTTCTGCTATTGTTTCTCTAAACCATATAGGCAACAGAGATATATATATGGCTAAGAGTTAACTTCACGGATTAGTCTACTAATAATTTATGTTACATTTGTGCTCGTGACTACACACATTCCATAGGAGTGATTTTCATAAGCTGGGTATGTGTTTCATGAAGTACTTCCTTCAATTGGTCCTGGTTGACCCCCCCCCCCATCCATCAGTTTCATTGGATGATCCCTAATTCCAGTATTTCATGAGATGGAATAATTCTTCTCTGTTCAGTCTCTCCACAGCATTCATAATTATGTTAACTTCCATCATAACCACATCTCCTTGTCATTTTTTAAACTAAAAAGACCCAACTTAGCAACGTTTTCCCATACTATAGGCATAGGAATATTTTAGCCACATTTTCTTGTATTTTCTCCAGCTCTCAAATAACATTTTGAGATGGGGCTACCAGAGCTGTACAAAGTTTTCCCAATGTGGGAGCACCATAATTTATATAATTGTCTTAGAATAGTACTTTTAAAATTCCATTTCTTTTCATGATAGTTTCTGACATTGAGTTTCTTTTTATTTTAATAGCATGCAGAGTTGATGTTTCCTATGAGCCTTTTCTACTGTAATCTAAATGGATAGATGGTTAGAGCCAATTGAGGACCCAGCATCGAATTTGTGGTTAGAACTTTTTATTTAAGTATGTATCATGTCCCACTTGCTTGAACAGAATTGTATCTGCTATTCAGGGTATGAGTTTTTGAGGGTCAAAGCTCACTTCATCAGATCATTCCAAAAGCTCATACCCCAAAAAAATCTTGTTGGTCTCTAAGTTGCTGCTGGACTCTGATCTAGCTGTTCTACTACAGACCAACACGGCAACCCTCTGAAACAACACAAAGATGTTACTGAAAATGCAACCCTATATCAAGTGCTTCCCTTATTAATGTCATTTTCTTGCCTCTGACAGCAGCAGCCAGTGGTGTAACTTAGGGAAGCACAGGGACTAAACGATACATAGAGAGAACTGAGAACCTGACACACAGCTGCTGTTTCCTGTGTCAGTTCCGTGTCAAATATCACATTTAGTTCTGCCCTTTCTATGGAGAGATCCTTTTTGGAACCTAATAAAGTTGTCATCTGTCTCTAGCCTAACTCTTAATTTACCATGTTACATGCTGTACCCACCTAAAGTCTCTCTGTTCTTTCTAAATAGGAAGCTTCCGTCTTCTCTGGGATAGAGAATACATGGCAAGAAATGAAGTGGGTCTGTGATGGACAGCCTCTAGTTCCACCCTCCAGGCATTGCCACAAATCTCTTTCTGTAGAGGAAGTAGGCAGATACTAAGCGGCATCAGCCAATGAGAGACTATGGAACATCTGCAGGGGAGGAGAGTACAGGGGAAGGAAAGTCTGTCATCACCTCAGATAGGGGTTGAAGAAGCAACAGAGAAATGGGGGCAACTACCAGGAGAATAGTTAGGTAGTTAGACTTTGCATGGTGAAGAAGAACTCAGATATCTATAGTATAGGTTTATAGAGCTTGAAGGCTGATAAAGAGGCAGGAACAGAGCAGGTATCCTGTGTTACCTTAGGGAAATAGTAGGTTAGGGACATGTGAGGACATTGAGGAAAATATCCCAAGAGAGAAGCTAACCCTATTTCAATAGGCTGAGATTCTTAGGTTTAAGGAGGAGTTCCAAATGAAATTATTCTTTCTCTGTCTCTGACAGAAGCACCATGCCAGTTCAGTAATACTGTGGGTGTGTGGAATTATAACCGCTTTAAAGCAGATTTCTGCTGTCCCTTGCTGTGTTAACCAGGCGTGATGTAGTCCATGGGGTTGCGAAGAGTCAGACTCGACTGTGCAACTGAACAACAACAACAAAAGTTTCATTCTTTGTCTTAGTCACCAAACTAGGCTTCCTCTACAATAGCAGCACGTAATCCAGCAGCACAGTTATGTGTTAACAGTGCCTTACTGACCACTCACAATCCCTGCCATAATGAAAATCAACTTGGTCACCGCTACTGAAAGATGTGACGGGGTGCTAGGGTGGACAGGTCCCTCCTGGCAACTGATGAGGGTGCAGGGGAACTTACCTGGAGAAAGAACAACAAAAGTTTCATTCTTTGTCTTAGCCACCAAACCAGGCTTCCTCTACAATAGCAGCACGTAATCCAGCAGCACAGTTATGTGTTAACAGTGCCTTACTGACCACTCACAATCCCTGCCATAATGAAAGTTGTGACGGCGTGCTAGGGTGGCCAAGTCCCTCCTGGCAACTGATAAGGGTGCAGGGGAACTTACCTGGAGAAAGATAAAGGCCTAGGCCTCATCACTGGTGTCAAACAGGAAGTGACATAATCATGCCAGCATGGGTGATGGTCTGGTATTTGGGCAAAAACTCTATGGTAAAACTGGCTTCTACCATAAAGTTTTTGCCTAAATACCAGAGTGTCACCAGATGTTACTGGCATGATGATGTCGCTTCCTGTACAATGCCAGTGACAGGGCCTAGGCCTTCTCTTTTCTCCTGGTAAGTCTCCCTCTGGCTGGCCAGTTAATGGACAGCTGGGGGTATGGCCTGGCGGCAGAGGACCCCCACCTCCACCAGGGGATCTGACAACCCTACAGGGTGGGGAAGGAGCTGTGAAAATATCTGGCCATCACATGGTCTGTTCCGGTAGCTTTCACACGAATAAAACAGTTCAGAAACAGGTAAATACACTTTTAAAAAGAGGCATTGATATTCCTGCTCTCTCCTGATATTAATTTAGAGGTAACAGAACAGAAGTTAAAATGTATTAACTGTTTCTCAAACTTTAGTAAATATTCCTGCATAAATTAACTGGTCTTTTCTTTATGATTAAGGATATGCCTGCATACTTCTCTTTATAGAGATCTAGTAGCTCTGACATCTCATCTAAAACCTCCAAGCCATATGGATATTTTTAAAGGCATTCAAATAGCCAGTGCTTGTACTCACCTCTTATTCCTGTAGTCTTGACTTCTAATCGTATGCAAGAAGAGATAAAGCAGTATCAGCAAATGTACTGTGCTGTTTAAAAAAGTATATACTTTTGTGTAATCCTAAACAAGTTCCCATGGGAATATGCCAAATACAGAGAAAAGAGGTAAAGGAATGGGAGGGTAGGTCGCACTGAATTGCTGTGATACTCCAGTGATGGCTTCGCCAAAGTAAAAAATTTCAGTAAGAGATCTCAAAAAAAGAAAGGATCTTGGTTTAATGAACGCATTGAACATTGTGATGTCCAACATCACAGTTATATTAATAGATAACCAGTTTATTTTCATTTCTTTATGGCAGTACATACTTTCTTTGGAGCATGTACTGCAGTCATGAGTTTTTTTCTCTCCTAGATTTCCCCAGAAGTAGAGCTGAGAATTTATTTCTTTTTAAAAATAACCTCTAAAATGAGTTAGTCACAACTGTATCATGAGTCCCTTGACCAAGGAATAATTGCTCTTTGGACCACTTGATGGGATGCATGCTGTATTTGTTAGACATGCTGATAATTTTCTGAGTTATGTTCCAAAGCGAATAGGTTAAAATGAATCATCATTTTGTTTATGTGGGATTCTAAACTGGACATCCTGACCTGGATAGCCCAAGCTAGCCTGATCTTGTCAGATCTCGGAGTAAGCAGGGCTGGCCCTGGTTAGTACTTGGATAGAAGACCACCAAGCAAGTCCAGAGTTGTGACACAGAGGCAGGCCATGGCGAACCACCTCTGAATGTCTCTTGCCTTGAAAACCCCACAGGGTCACCATAAGTCAGCTGTGACTTGATGGCAAAAGAAAAAAAAACCTGGATGAAGGTATTGAAGTACTTAAATAACACCATAAGCACATGTGTTTTCATTAGCTAGCAAGCATCTTTTGAAGTCTTGACATTGCAAGAACACGCATACAATTTCTGATTTTCCATACTTCACAGTGTTGTTTTATATTTGTGTGTGGCATGTCTGTCTCTTAGCAGCTTGGCTGAAATTAGTTGAGTGGGAGAAAGGAAGACATTCTGGTCCCTTCAGCTTCCAATTTCCACTGTCCAAATTTCATAGAGTACTAATAGGCCCAGACTTTTAAAAATTTTAATTCTTTCCAATGCACTACTTGGATCCAATAGAGCATTTCCATGGGTGAAAGGAGTTCCTCCTACAAAGTGTGACTTCCTCACTTCCTCTGTAGTCCAGAGTGCTACACTGAGGGGCATTTGGGGTTGTAATTGAAAAAGATAAAAAGAATACTTGCACATTTTATTTTTCATTTCATAGTTAGGTTGTGTTCAGCTTTTAATTTCTTTCAGTGCCTTCCTTAGGAGAGTTACAACCTTCTAAATTTATTGTCTTTAATAGACTTGGATTTAATTCTGCTAAGCAGGTCTAGTACTCGAAATGCTAGTCAAGTCTGTTCAGTGGGGCTTACTCCCAGGATAGTGATCTTAAGATTGCACAGCTACTCTCACAGGTCCATAATCTTTATTTTAAACAAAAGATAAATGTGAACTCTGTATTTTGCCCTAGAATGTGCTGCTGTTGAGCTAGAGTAGGCCGTACTTCATTTGTCCCAAAGTCCTTCTTCATGATGAAGTGATTTCTGTTTCAGGGACATTTCATCTGTTCATTCTTCTGACCAGTCTCTTCTCTCCTGTAGCACTTTAGATGTATTCCCTACTGTGGTGTCCCTTGCAAACGCAAGCCTCCCTCCTCACAGACGGTTTGACGGTATGGATATATCTGAGGTCCTCTTTGGAAAGTTGAACAAAGGACATGAGGTATGGGATGGACTTCAAATATTTAGTTTCATGATCAATCCCACACGAGTGCGATACCACCTTAAGGACTAACAGAATGTATTTCACCAGGAGCTTTCGTGAGTCAGAGCTGGCATCCTCAGATACATAGAAGTGTACATCTTGGTTGGAATACATGGGAGACACTTCCAGTTAACAACAGCAGAGCAGAAAATCATCAGATCTACTGAAGTTGCTCTTGAAATAATTTGGCCTTAATTCTACTGATAACTTTTATCTTCCTGGTGCTGCAGTTCCATTGGTAGCAGTGAATCTGTACTTTACTTTCCCATTTGCCAGCAAATTATGTATTTGGGGTAGAAAATCAAAATGTTGCAAAATCTATGGAACAAAAATTTTATAATAAACTAAATATTTTTATTAAAGGCTGCCCTTTAATCAGGGGTCCATAGATTTTGGCTGATCTTGGTAACCAGCCAAAATTTGTATTTGCCGCTAGCCTTGCCCCTGCCCTGAGAGGAAGGAGCAGGGCTTTAACTGTGATTTCACATGGATCTTCAGTGGTGCTTCGAGCACCTCCAAGAACCAGCAGAAACAAACTTCTGTGCTTCTCCCCAGCTTGAAGCTTAATACCACCTAATGGTAGTGTCAGGCCTGATCTTGGCTTTTTATTTTAACATGAAGCAGGACAGTATAACAGAAATTCCTCATCTGTAACCACATACTAAGCTCCCTTTACCCCAAATAACAATAAGTATTTAGTTTTCCACACCTGTTTCTCATACGTCTCAAAGATTGCACCTCTGTCAAATATAATTAGCCAAGCGTATTATGCATTTGGTATCATGCAGCATTTCAGAACTCATGTGCACATCAAAGTTTACCACTCTACCAGCACAGGAAAATAGTATGTCATGCAACTGGCTGAGAAGCCCATTTGGTTTTCAAAGTGGCAGTAGCCCCATCCAGGTCTAGATCTGCTAACCCCATCCAAGAGTTGTGCATAGCATGGCAACCTGAGAAACCATGGGGCAGTTGCAGGTGTCATTACTTATCAATAGCAACATGAATTAAGTGGGAAGAAGGTTTGACAGCTGACAGCAGCAAGAGCTCAAGACGAACTGAACCAGCCACAGGGAAGGGTACACCCATTAAACATTCTTGTGGGAGCATTAGAAGATGCAATTAAGAGAAACTGTTACATTCTAGAGAGCAGTTTAGAATCATGTTTTCCATTATTGCTGTTCTCTGTTTTGTGGGTCCCTTCAAAGTTCTGGAAAGGTGATGACTGATATCAATCAGGTTTAAAATATCTGTGGCACTACCTTGCATCATCAGCACAAAAAAGACTAGATTAAGTAGCTATTTATTTAGTTAAACAGTTTATAAATCATGAACTCCCAGCCAATTAAAACAAATAATAAAATATCTATTAAAAACAGTACAAAACAACACTCTCGAGACCTAAATTTAGAATATCCTTTAGCAATAATCAAGCATAGCAGTAAAATACTTAAATGAGCCAGTATACATGTGAGTCTGCACAGCAGAGTAAAGGGGGTGGTGGGTGCAGCTGAGGTGAGGCCATCTCTGTGCCTGACTGAGGACGGGGTTGTGTGAAAGTAGCTGAGATGACGTGTGCATGCAAATGAAGTGGGCATGTGTCTCTGGGATGTGTGTAAACAGTGAAGAGGTGTGAGAATAAAAGGAAGCGAGTAGAGCAGGAGTAAGCAACAAGCGTCTGACAAAAGAGTGAGAAGCAAGGGCTTCTAGTTGATAAAATATAAGCTGTACCAAAGCATCATAGGATATACCAAATCAAATACCAATAATAGTTAAAGGGCACTGGAAACATTTCTTCGGCCACGGTCACACGGGAGGTTTTGGCCCGGGAGAGGGACGGATCGGGGGCGCAGCAAACGGGCGTGAGCACACCACAACATCTGGGAATCGGCTCGCACCCGTCCCTGATCCATTCCTTCAGGCCAATAATGTGCTGTAAAACAACAACAACAGAAGAGGAGGACTTACCGGGTACACCACAGCAAGTGTGGCCATGCGAGTGCCAGCGCGCCCATCTTCTGGAGCAATCCAGGCTCCTGGCCGAACTGCGCATGCTCACACATGCACAGTTCGGCAGCCTCGGTCTCCTGTAAGTGGCTTCCCCCCGGCATCTGATCGTGCCGGGGAGGAGCTGCGCGGTCAGGGGATTTTTGGTACCCCCCCCCCATGTGTTTCTTTTGGGGCGGCTTTAAAAAGCCGCACTTCGACCATACTCCCCCCCCCCATGTGGCAGGGGCCTTTATCACTCTATGCAGCCAGAGGAGCGGACTGGGGAAAATTAAACCCCTAGCTAGCAGCTGCTCAGCTTCTTATGCATCTTGACCCTAATCAGCCTTTCCTGGAAACACCCTGCCCACCATCTACCTGATGTAATGGTTGGTGCCTTCGGTTTCAATGTTTATGAAGAAGCATGCATGCACGCACACGAAAGCTTATACCCAGAATTAAATTTTGTTGATCTTAAAGGTGCCACTGACTGGACTCAAACTTTGTTCTGCTGCTTCAGACCAGCACGGCTGCCCCACTGCAACTATTACAGGTAGTCGAACTGGTTGTGGAGGTGTCCTGTATGGATAGAACAGAACAAGTAGGTACCAGGTGTATTTGGAGATATATGTAGTACAGTACAGTCTTGCCCCTGATGAAGTGGTGCTTCCCTTGTGCATCACAGTCAAAAATGCTACAAGTACTAATTTTAGAACTGGTTGTATATGCTGCCAGACGTTGACAGTCTAAATCGCTGCACACAGAAAGTCTTAGGCTCAGTTTTTGCTGGAATCACTAGACCTGCATGTGGTTCCTTGGGGACCAAATAGTGACTCCATTTGCCTTGGCTGCCACCTGTCAGATCTTGTTCCTGTCGATGACATAATGCCATTACCCAGGAAGCTCTCAGGTTCCTGTGCTAGACAGCGCTGCCATTTTGGTTTCCCCAACAAACTGATCTCTTTCTAGTTCCCTTTGGTGTATTAAACCAAAAAAGAAGGAAATTGTCTCAGGCACTTGTAGGTGGCCTCTGTAGACTGCTCGCCTTTAGGAACAAAGGCATAATGTAAACTCACATTTACTTGAATTCTTGGCTCGAGCAGTATTGATTTGTAAGTAGGGCAGAAGCCTCCACCCATGTCCTGTCATTTTTCTGTCCACATGATAATAGAAGTGGCAAACTCAAGCATAAGACAAGCAATTTGCATGACACCGATTACCAAGCATGTTTTCTGGGCATTACGAAAGCTCTTGGCTTCTTGCCTCTCTCAGCCTCAAATAGGAATCCTGCAGATTAAAGTCTGTGTGTTGCTTTGAAACACTGTGCCAGTATGCATCTTTCTCCAAACCAGTTTCCAGTGGGAATTTTGGTGTTCACTGTGGCTCTGTGTTTATTTGTGGAAGCTGGAGGCAAGGGACCCCTCCTCCTCCTGCAACACGAAGTGAGTTTTCTTAGTGATGTTACAAATGGCTTCATAAGGAGAGGATAAGACATAAAAGGTCACACTGCACTGATCAGTCTGGCAAAGGATCTGGAATATTAAAGAATATTAAAGCAGCAAGACACACAAAAAAGAGCTATTTTGAGTGGCTATTTCCATGGTAAAAGTCAAATCTCTCAAGCCGACTTCAAAGGAATATAATAACAGCCTGGTATTTTAGTCAAATATTTGAACTAAATACTTGTAACCTCTGCAGCCGCACATTAACTGCTATCCTTGATAAGCCTGAGATGGTCTCTTGAAGAGCTGTTTCTAAAGCATGCACAGTTCACAGAAGTAGAGTGCAGTCCATGTTGTTTATAGCGTTCTGCTAGATTAGTTTTGTATGTTCACTCAGTCTTGCTGCATTAACAGAATAGTTATGCCGTTTATCTAGCGGTCCGTTTGCACAGGTTTGAAACACAGCTCTTCTCCTCCCCTTCTAGTATGGCGGTTAGTTTGCAATCAGTATTCAGCTTTATTTGAAATGCAGCCAGCAGCAGTTCTTGAAAATGACTGTCTTCATCAAACAAGGCCAAGTTAACCTGTACTGAGTTTTGATAAGCATGACAGGTGCTTGACACAAATTTCATGCTTGTATTCTTAAAGGAGAATTTCCCGATCTTTAGCAGCTCAGCACAAGGCACCAGCTGCTGAGGTTAGGTTCCTTATAGTGGTGAACAAAGCTGCAAAGCAGGTGTAAACTCTGCCTGCCCAAAAGGTATTGTACCAGGATTCAGTGTAGCAGCTTGCTGATTTTTCTGGCTTCACAGTCTAACAAATCTATCCCATTGGCACTCCTGATAAGGAAAACAGATACGACATTTAAAAAGTGGTAGAACCAGTTTAGAGGTGACATGACTCTGTCCACTTAAAACATGTCCTTTCAGCAGTTATTCATATGGGCCGCAGAAGATGGCTTCGCATAATGTTGACTTGCTGGTGACTCTCATGTTTCTAAGACATTTCTCTGAGTCCCTGGAGCAATTAAAAAAAATTTTTTTTTGTCTTCTTAAAAACATGCAGTTAAACACATAGGTCAGTAGGATTTTAAAAGTAGAATAAAAAGTTAGGCATCCCTCCTGAACAGTGATCAGAGGGGCAAGACTTATGACGGCATCAGCATTCGGTTTTCTCAGCTTGCCAGTAATGACTCCTGGCTCAAAATGCAAGTGACTTCTTTTTTTTATGTTACATTATCTTGCAACGTCAAGCTTCGTTCACAAACAGAAAGGGGTTTTTGTCTTGACATTCCTACTAGGTGTGAGTGCCAAGTGGGGATTAGAAACAACAGTTCTACAAACAAGAGTGAGCAGTTCTCTGAAGACTGCTGATTATGGAACAAATCTGGACATACTGAGAATGGAGCAAAGGTGTCAGTGAAAGACAGCAGGGAGCTGGTACAACGCCAGCCCTGGTACAACGACTTACGCTATTCATCTCAGCCAAAAAATGTAGAGTGTAATAAAATTACGGGACCAAAGTATTTAGTATTACAGGAATTGCTACTAGGTGGGATGCTCCTTCCAAATGTGCTGGGGCACGGTGCCAATATACTGTTGCTCAGCCTTATTCCATGGTTAGATTATGAAATAGTGCATAAGAATGAATATGTATCTGCTTTTTTCAGTGCTTAAAACAAGTTCCCATGGAATATATCCAATGGCGCCCGTTTCTCCATTATTGCACTGTGAAACATGGATGAAGCATTCCCAAGGAAAAGAAGGTGTAATTGTACATGCAATTGTACATGCATAAGAATTAGGGAAGCCATATGCTTGGGTGATTGGATGATTTCAGCACTCATGTGTTCCAGGGCACCTCAAATCCCAGAAAGTGAGCTAGGACAGTGTCAAGTCCTGGGGGTTCTAGGCCTGAAATTGGTGAGGCGGCCCCACTGCTGGACCTCCTGATGGCACCTGGTATTTCTGGCCACTGTGTGACAGAGTGTTGGACTAGATGGGCCATTGGCCTGATCCAACATTGGCTTCTCTTCTGTTCTTGTGATCTTAGGTGGGGCCCTCCAGAGTGACTTTCAGCAGCTCTGGCCTCAGATAGCAGAGGTAGAGGGGGGTTTGCATGAGACTATTCCCTCTCCCCTGCTTGAGGTAGCCCAGTCACTCTCCTGGAATCTCTGGGTCTCGGCTGCGCTCTTCCTTCCTGGCCTGCCCAATGCCTGCTGCTTAAGTCTTTCCCCCAGGGGTGGGACACCACTGGATTCTGTAATCCCCTCCCTTCCCAGTGGGGCACATCCTCTCTGGCCTCACCCTTCTTCCTTACCCCTGGTATGGGATGGGGCTGCCAGCAGCTATTGGTGGTCCTGCCTGTCATTTCCTCCGTGCTCTGCTGTGGCTCAGGGAAGGCTGGGCACTCCTGCCTTGCTCCCACACCAAGCGAGGGACACCCCAGCAGTGCTGGCAACCGTCCCCCACTCCCCGGAGTTTCACTCCCCATTTTTGATCTTTGATGGTCAATCACACACATTTAACCTAACCAACTTTGCAGAGCTGTTGTGAGGGTAAAATGGAGAAATGAGAACAACCAATGTTCCCATGAGCTACTTGGAGGTAGGTCAGGATAAAAATGTACTTGGTTGACAGAAATGTCCCTTTATGAAAGCACCACTAATACTCTCCTGGGAAGTGAGTTTACAAAGAATTAAAACACAAGACATCTATATATCTGTTTCTCAAGTTTGGTGCCTATCTGTAGATATCTAAACCCTTGTGCTCGCTTCGGCAGCACATATACTAAATTGGATATCTAAACCCGTGAATTGGGGCCACACTTACCCAAAACAGATGTTTCTGCAAACTTGGGGTTTGCAGAAAAATCTGACACCTTAAAAATACATTGGGGGTTTTAAATTCCCCCCAAAATCCAATGGAAGTTGTTGTTGACCTTGGAGGAGCTCAGGAGCTGCACTGAATCTGGTGGCGGCAGCATAGCCCAGGAGCCATGACAGGCCTGGCAGCAGCACAGCCCGGGAGCCATGGCTGGGCCTGATGGTGATATGCGCGTGGGTGTGCGAGGCGTGGGAGAGGCGGGGGGGGGGGGGAGATCGGATTCATCCTCCAAGTCTTTGCAAGCCCCTCCACTGAGCTGAGAAGGAAGGAATTGCGTGGGGAGGGTGAGGGAATCCTCAACCACCACCCCCTGCTGAGCCAGGAAGCCTCTCTGCTTGAAGGGAATTGGAAATTGCATGGCTCCTCACCACCCTCTGCCATCGAGCTCTCACCCAGGGATTTGGGAGAGTAGGCACAGCAGTCCTTTTTGCCCCTACACCAAGCCAGCAAGCCTGCCCACTAGCTGGAAGTGAATCGAGGTGTTGTGTGAGTCCTTGCTTCCCCCCCCCGAGCTCTCACCCAGGTTGGGGAGAGCACAGCAATCCTTGCTGTGTCCCCCCCGCCTGCCCTGCTGAGGTGGTAGTGAGGTAGCCAGGTGGCAGGCAGGGGTGATGGTTGGGGGGGGGCTGGGAGTTGTGCCGGCCCAGCAGCAGAGATGGGAGGGAGGGATTCCCCCCATGAGTATAACGGACTGGTAATGAAAGTTGACAGATTAAGAGGAAGAGGAGAAATATTGGGTGGACAGACAGAGAAGGAGAGTAGATTGATGGAGAAGGGGTGGGGGCAAAAGGGAGAGAGGTAGGTTGACAGATTGGGGGGGAGAAATGGGGAGGATTAACAGAGAAGGAAGGAAAGGCAAGGGGGAGAAAGAAAGGGAAGAGGGATGGAAGTGTGGGGGGGAAACAATGCACCGTCTCTGCAAGTTTCTTGCAGGTCCCCACTTGTGAAACTATAATCTGGTAAATGGCAAGAAATATGTTATGGGGGGAAACCCTCAAAACATCAAAGCAATATAAAGTTATTTCAGACTGATTTAGAAGAACTGACACTTAAACACGGTATTTTTTCTGGAACCCTCCCAGATGGATGATTGAACTCCAGGTGCACAGAATCATAGAGTTGGGATTTCCAGGGTAATCTAGTCCAACCCCCTGCACAGTGCAGGAAATTCACAAATACCTTCCCTTCCACACCCGCAGTGACTGCTGTTCCATGCCCAGAAGATGACAAAAAACCTCCAGAATCTCCAGTCAAACTGACCTGGAGAAAAAATGCTTCCTGACCCTAAAATGTTGATCAGCATTTCCCTGGGCATGTAAGAAAAGGCCACAAGAACTAAGCACTGAGGCAACCCTTCCTGCCCTCCTTCTCATGATCTACCTAAGTTCACAGAATCAGCATTGCTGTCAGATGGCCATCTGTTTGAAAACCTCCAAAGGAGGAGAGCCCACCACCTCCTGAGGAAGCCTGTTCTGCTGAAGCCTATTCCATCCTCAAAGGGGAGTGGGTGGGGAGTGATAGCTATGATCCTTTTATCTCCATAAAAATGTAGGAAATGCATAGTGATCTGTAAGTCCCACAGCCCAATCTCTCAGTGTTTCTTTTTTAAATCCTTTTTCAGCACAAGATTTGTGTTTGTATATAATAAGCAACCTAAGAATTTCCAGTAATGTTTTTTTAGTCTTCTCTTTTATATTGCCCTCTCTCAGAATTATCACACTTCTTTAAAGAAGTAAAATTTGGGGCCAGCCTTAAATGCAAAAGTCTAGACTGAAGGCATGTCTACAGGAGGTCGATAGATGTGCTAGCCAAGTTAAGAAAGGCTTCATACTCAAATGAAAGAGAGCAAGCTTGCTATGATGCTCCGTAGAACAGACAAGGGAGATTTGGAACAAGAGGAACCCCAGTGTTAAGAGCCACCAAATCTCATTCCAAACAATGAGTCGTCCCCCCATCCAAGCTTCCTGCATGATCCACCACCACCACCCCCGCCATGCAGCGGTGGGCAACCCATCTCCAGCCTCTCCTAATGAGGATCTTAGGCTCTACTCTGAGCAGATCCTCTGAATGGCCAAGTCCCTAGAGATGGATATATCTTTCTCTAACCCATGTCCCCAAAACAAGATCTTGTCTGCCCTCGACTTGGATGCCCTGGAACAAGTGGCCTTTCTGATTTTGGAGGATTTCCTTGACATCGCCATGACACTATTGGAGAAGCCATCTGCCATTCTGGCCACATCTAGGAAGTTTGAACATCTTAAAGGGTGAAGCAGACTGACCGCAATTTCTTATTTATACACCCTCCCCCCTCCTCCCTTGTGGCTGAGAAGTACAGGCCAGACATTGCTCTGGTAACCACTCCACACCTGTCAACAAGGAGGGTCACAAGGTGGATGCCTTAGGCTGCAAGGTCTATTCTGTGGCGGCCTTGAATTTCAAGCTATTGTTTACCAAGCTATTAAGGCTGCTTACCAGTTGTTTTTGTGGAAATGCCTGTCATCTTACATTGAATAAAAACATTTCCCAACAATTAAGGCCATTAAGGCAGATATCTATAATCATTAAGCCACATTACCATTCGTTTTGTCATGCAGGATAGGCTGAGAAATCAAAGTCCACACCCCCAACACTAGATTCAAGTGGGTAGCCGTGTTGGTCAGAAGCAACAGAACAAAGTTTGAGTCCAGTGGCATCTTTAAGACCAACAAAGTTTAATTCTGGGTATGAGCTTTTGTGTGCTTGCACAATTCATCAGATAATGATGAAGGTATCTGATGAATTATGCATGCACACGGAAACTTTCACCCAGAATTAAACTTTGTTCTATCCCCAACACGTTTGTGTGTTTTTTTTTTGCATTATGCCGGCAGATGCCTCAAATGATAGAGGGTCATTGCATGAAGCCACTCTTACTTGTGTTTTGTTGCTTGGTCCCTCTCTGGACCAAGTTGTGAAAACAAGAGTGAACTATATAAAGAGGTGATGTTGGTGAAAAGGATGATCAGTGCTCCCCGGGGCACAATTATAATTTGTTTATTGCTTCTGGAGGGAAGAAACTGGCTCCCAGGGTTCCCTGCCTTAAGAAGCATGCATTTCCCTACCCAGCTGCTGTTTGAGATAAGAAAGCACATTAGGAGATCCCATCATTGATCACCAATGTAATGTGTAGTTTGGCCCTAAATGTTATCATATGAGGAACATATATGCACAGTTACCCTTTGGGTCAACAAATACACTCTTAACATAATATCTACAGTGTGTTTAGCTACTCTTGCTATGCTGACTGGAAGGGCCAAATTCCCTAATCTTTTGGATTCTTATTTTCTCTAGACATTATTTCATCCCAACAGTGGAGCAGCTGGAAAATATGGACACCTACAGGCTCTTCGGCTGAATCAGTACAAGGCATTTTATGTCACAGGTTTGTATATGTTTGTTTATATGTTAGGTGTTTTTAGGAGGCCAGTGAAAGCAGTCTTCTTTTTTGATACAAAGTTCAAAACAGAGTTAGACTGACAAATGGAAATAAAACATCCTCTTTCCCCAGTGCCAGAACTCAGTCAGATCCTCAGGTGCATCTCCCATCCCCAAAATCTAGACATTGAAGGTTCCCTTGGTTAGAAATGAACAAACTCTCTAGCTCCCATTCCTTCAGTTCTCTTTTTCATTCAAAATAACCTTTATTTACAGCCGAAGTACAATGATGCAAATGTACAACTTTTCTTGGTGAACATGAATTGTACAAAAATTAAATTGGATAGGGCCAGCCAGAAACGTTGGCCTCCACACATTCTTGCAAACTGGCAAAATAAGGAAGGGTTCACTGTGCAATGTAGCAGAAGCCACAGGGCACTTCTTGCCTCATGGTAAAGTCTCTGGCTGAAATACACCCCCCCCCCTTCTGAGCTGCTTTGTGATTTATATTTCTCATGTTCACAACTTGTATTTCTGTTTGTTCAAACTATGGCTACCAACTTTCAGATCTGTCCCTCTAGTTATCCTTTTAATAACAGCTTGATCTGCAGCAATGGTCAGGTGATGTTATTTATCTGCCAGTTTCTGATTTCTATTGGTACAGATCTGTATGAAGTAATTGAAATGCTGTTTTTCTTTAGATTTTGATATAGTTTCAGTTTAGAGTTATATACATTAGCTAATTGATTAATATAATTAATATAATTAATATAATTAATATTACAAGCATTTGATGATATAATACACATAATCAGTTTCAGATGTAGGTTTAGCTTAGCACTGTATTTTTTAAAAAATATTTAAAACACATCACTTGCTGTTTCTGACTACAGTTTTGATTATAGCAATTATAATATATAAGATATGTTAATGTTTTTAAATGATCAAAGAATTAATATATTGTTCTCTGGTGGTCCTGGGAGTGGGGCAGTCCTTAGTCTTGGGAATAAGCTCCTCCTCTGGAACAGGGTCGGTTTCCTCAGATCGATCCAGGAAGGGGAGGGGCCTGTCCTCTGAGAGCATCCCAGTATTCACA